TGTTCGTATACCGCCCTTTCAAATATTCGCGCTATCATCGGAGTAACTGAGATAGGGCGATAATTGTTAGGGTCGTCTCTATCCCCGGATTTAAAAATAGGGCAGACTTTAGCAGTTTTCAGTTCCTTAGGAAATGAATTATTTTTCACTGAGAAATTAAAAAGATCCGTCAGTGAATGATAGATATAGGGCGAGGCTATTTYTAATAAAGTATTCGGTATACCGTCAAGACCATTTGCCTTAGAAACATCTATCGACTTCAGGAGTTTCAAAACGGTGTTAGGGTCAATTTTCTGTAATGTGAAGGTTGAATTTACTTCCTTAATGAAGTTCATCATAACAGAATTATTAGACCCATCACATTCGATTTGAGAGGCAAGTTTAGCCGCTACTTCGGAAAAGTGGCAATTTAAGATTTCCGRTATTTCAGTAGACCCYTGCGGATCCTGAATTTTTAATTCTTTAATTTCAGTGTTTTTAGACTTTTTTCCTCTGAGGTCGTTCAATGTTTTCCAGGTCTTTTTAGGATTATTTGAGTATGTATCTAATTGGTCTTGATAGTAACTCTTTTTTGTTTTATGAATTAGCTTATTGACCTCATTTTTCTTAGCTTTGTAGCTTGACCAATCAGCCTGTAGACTGGTTTTGATTGCTTTCTTTTTAAGAAAGTCTCTTTGGCGCATTTCATGTTTTAAATCAGGGGAAATCCAGGGTGATGGTTTGTTTCTAATTTTGAGTGTTATTTCAGGCACGTGTTTATCAATAATACTTAAAAACACGCTTTTCCAGTTCGACCAAGCTTCATCAATGGTCATATCAGAGGATATACTAGGCCACTGGATATTTGATATTTCCTCAAGGAAACGCTCTCGATTGAATCTCTTAAAATTTCTTGTCTGGATCATCCTTGGATTGCCCCTGGGGATTCCCTGTTTTCTAGTAACAAATACTAAGCAATGATAACTTATTGAAAATGGATAAACACCATACGAMGCGACTTTGGACTTATCATTTGTTATGATGTGATCAATAAGTGTCTTTGAGTCTTTGGTCACCCTCGTGGGTTCAGAGATAATTTGTTCCATTTGAAATTCATCAAGCAAATCGKTAAGGCGTAAAGTATGAGGCCCTAAGGGATTTGCTAATAAATCACAGTTAAGATCACCTAGTATGTAAATTTCACTGTATTTATTTTCAATGTTTTGAAGTAGGCTACGAAATGAATCAAAATAACTCAAATCGAGTTTAGGTGGACGATACCATGTCATTACTAGCAAAGGCGATGATCTTGGTTGTTTTATTTCTAATAAAATCGCTTCAAGATCATCGTTCTCGAGAGAAACTTTTCTAGTAAAATTTATGGTGTCTTTCACGTAAAAACACACTCCGCCGCCACGACTATCTCTATCGCGACGGACTAGAGTATAATTTGTAATGGCTAACAGACCATCACTGTAACTTTGGTCAATTTTTGTTTCATTTATGGCTAGAATATCAAGATTAATGTAAGTTAAGGCGATGCGCAATTCATCAATATGCTTTTTAAGGCTATTTATATTTAGTAGACCCATTTTAAGGCCTCTACACTGAAAGGGATTACTCTGAGGATTATAAGACGCACCACCAGCACTGACATTTGATTTTCCAGATATATTATCAGCAGATCATTTGTCATTTCGAATAGCCTGTCTAAAATTTGAAGCTAGATTTATAGTGCCCTTGCGGTTAAGGTGTAAACCACTTCTGTTTAGGCATTCCGAGTTAATGTTGCTATTATCAATAAAAATGACCTTATTTTCTTTACAAAAGGTTTCCAGCCAGCTATTTACCTGGTTAAGCTTACCATGCAGGGACTGGTCGTCTGATCGATGTGTTATGGACGACAAAGCGATAGTTGTCTTTGGTGATATGGACCGAATATCTTGGACTAAACTTGTTAGTTTAGTCTTGGTCTTTTTGCTTTTTTCTTTCTTCAGGTTGTTGGTGCCACAGTGGATAATGATCTTATTAGGCTTTTCTTTGATTAACTCTTTCGCTTTTTCGCCGATGACCTCAATGGTAGCTCCAGGGTAGCAATGTGATACAACTTTCTGTTTCCTTGAGAGTTTGTTTTCATCGATGTGTTTGATRATGGAGTCTCCCAGGAGTATTGTACTTGGATTCGGCGACGACGCAGTTTCATTGCAGTTAATGCTTTGATCATGTAAATTTATCGTAGGATTATTAAAGCATTTCTTCTTCGGCTCGACATCAACATTATTGTGTCTTGAAATTATTGAAATMGTTCTTAATAATGCCTCCTTTTCCTCTTCCAGGGCCTTAATGCGATTGAGGTATTCTGTGCTAGATCTATTTGAGTCTTCAAGTTGCTTTTTCAGCTCGACGCAGCAGCAGTTTTCTGATAGATGTTGGTTTTTAGACTCTAGTAGAGCGATTCGCCTTTCGAGACGATTGAGCCTGCTTTCTTCGGCGCTATCATTAATAAATGATTGAAAAGCAAATCTTGATTCCTCGGGAGAAACATCAGGAGGATTCAAATCTCGATGGAGTCTCTCGGAGAGTATTATATCATCTTCAAGTACAACAGACTCTTCGGCAGGGTCTTGATCTTTCCCTGAATTGTTGTCTTTGATGGTGGACATCAGCTTTCTTTTGATTTCATCTTGTTTTGGCCCCTGTATATGAACTGTTTTCGTACCGGGATAGAAGTTGATGGATACACAGCTACTCTTGAAGCAATGACAGCATTGTTGTGGATAAACGACCATTCGCCAGAGAGCTTAAACAGTTCATCAATGACAAGTTTAAGCGACTCGAAGTCACTATTAAACTTAATCTTAGTTTTAGTACCGTCAGATTGTACTTCGAAGGAAGAAACGAGAGTTTTGATACCTTGCGTAAGAGCAATGGAAGCACGTCCGTTCTCCATGACTGGCTGATCAAAAAAAAAAAAAAAAAAAAAAAAAAAAAAAAAAAAAATGCATGGACTATAGACCATCAACATCGTCAAAATTGATCCATTTTTGATC